GCAATCAGAAATAAGATGTCCAGTTTTCTTGCAATAATTGCATGTAGGACGAGATAAGGGATTATGACCTTTATGTTCATCAGATGACTTTGGTTTGGGAGTATTTGACTGACTAGATGAGCCAGATAAATTACCAGAACTGAACTTGGAATTAAAATGTGAGGGTGTGGACTTCCCTTTATTTATAAATGAGACTTTGTGGGTTAAAGAATAATCATCAGCTAGACGGGCAGCTTCTTCTAAAGTTTCTACCTGTTTTTCATCTAAGAAAGATTTAACATCAGAGTGAATACAACTTTTAAACTCTTCAACTAACATGAGCTGTCTGAGCTTTTCATGATTTTTATTTATTTTCTTAGATAGACACCACCGATCAAAAAGTTGTTCTTTTTCTCTTGCAAATTCGACATGGGTTTGACCAATTTCTTTCTTAGAATTTCTGAATTTTTGCCTGTAGGCCTCTGGTACTAACTCATAACCTTTCAGAATTAATTCTTTTACATTATCATAATTAGAGCTTTGTTCGACAGTAAGTTGTGTATAGATTTCACGAGCTTTACCAATTAAGACGCTCTGTAAAAGTAATGTCCAGTGCTCTCTTGGCCATTTTAAATTTTCAGCAACCTTTTCAAAATGAAGAAAAAACTTATCAACTTCTTTTTCTTGGAAAGGTGGAACAAGCCTAATATTTTTAGTGACATCAAATTTTGAATTGATTCTATGTTCAAACTGATTTGCTCTCTCTTTGATTTCTAATTCTCTCATTTTAAACTGAAATTCTCTCTCTTCTCTTTCTTTTTCAAACTGCCTTTCTTCCCTTTCCTTTTCCATCTGTCTTTCTTCCCTTTCTTTTTCTAACTGTCTTTCTTCCCTTTCTTTTTCTAACTGTCTTTCTTCCCTTTCTTTTTCTAACTGTCTTTCTTCCCTTTCTTTTTCAAACTGCATTTTTTCTAGTTCAAATTTAAATTGTAATTCAAGCTCTTTTATTTTTATTTCAGAAATTTCAGAGTGTTTTTCAACAATCTGAGAAAGTGCATCTTCTCCAAAAATATCTTCATCCACAAAATAATGAATCAGAAGATTTTTAATTTCTTGTTTACGCATTGAAGATTTAATTTCTGATAAATTATACTTTTTTGCAAGATCGAGCAAATCAGTTTTCTTAGCCAAATCTAATACCTCCTGGGAAGGTTCAGCTACAAACTTTTCTAAATTAAAAGACATGACTGCTTGTTGCTGGTTTTAAACTCAGAAAGTGATGTGTTTCAAAAATTTCAAAATGAAAGGTACACTTAATAGAACAACTATGATATCAACTCAGATGAGTAAATACGGTAATAATAAAATGTAAAATAAACAGTAATAATTTCCAATATAGTAGCCAAAAAGAAATATTCATTCCCGGACGAGCCCCCAATTTCTGTTACGAGCCAGGCGTAACGAGAAAGAAAAGCCAGCAACAAACTTGTAACAATAACAAATTTATTACAGAAAAATTATTAAAGAAAAATAAAATAACAAATTATCTTTACAAATACCTGAAGTCCAAATAAAAATTACAAATGTCTAGTCTGATCCTGGAATAATCCTTTTTCAATAGCACAGTTAAATCCAAGTTAAATCCAAGAACACTTTAGAATAAATTCCCACAATAAAATCCACAAGAATAATTAATAATCCAAGCTCCAATAAATCACTTAATTTCCAAGTTGAATAATACTCCAAATATATTGATGACTTAAAAGATCACTGATGACTAAAAAGGTAACTGATGACTTAAAGATCAGATTAATGAAAAATGTCTCCTTATATTAACTAAGAAGTTTCTAGAATAGTCTTCCATTTACTACAGTAATCATAATCTAGCAACTTCAACAATAAAGATCATTCCAGAAATTTCTATCTAAATATAATGCATGAGTTTTCCACAACAGTTAAGAACTTTCTAGTACATACATGTAGTTTATGTTCTAAAAATAGAACAATGACAATATTGGAAATACCAACTGGTCAGATATAATCTATATACATGTAATATGTTGCATACATAACAATCTCTTGCAAAAAAGCTTATTCAACATTCTGATTTACCGAGTTATAAACGACATTAAAATGTCATTAATAACTCGGTAAATTTGAAATTTTGTCCAGAATAACTAGATCACCAGTAACGCTCACGATCCCTCCCCGGAAACTCATGTACATGAAAAAAGAAATACCCGAACTTATTTTGATGCAATCAATAGATTACGTTCGGAGTTCATGATATTATTTGACTATTCATTTATTCAATAGTATTGATTTTATTATATATATGCATATTGATGAAGCATATATTAATGTGTACAAGAATACGTCAGTCTAAAGTAAACATACCTGAACACAACAGTTATATTAAGAAATACATTTTACAGTGCTTCCCAGATTTAACCATAGCTCCATTTTGATTTTAGCAAAAGTATTTTAACAAAAGAAGTTAAAAAGAATGAAGGCTACTTGTAACCTTTAAGCGCCCCACATCAAAAAGTTTAGTATATCGACAAAACGTTACTTGAAAGAGACAAAAACAACAACATAAACTAGTTTTCTAAGCAGACCAAACAAATATTTACAGTATATTGTCTATAATACAACTGTCGTCTTTGTTATTTATCTGTTGTCTTGTTTTCGATTGTTCATCTAGTTGATATACTTTTAGATCTAACTAGAACTGCCACTATCATGGCGTGATTACCCCCGCATACCACTTTGTCAGAATCAACAATGGCCATTTAAAATTCAAGGACAACCTTCCTGTCTGAGTTTACTAAGCCAGTGCATTGCTAAGTTATGTATTCTACATGCTTCAAATGTGAAAATGTCAAAATCAATACATTGCAGACAGGACATTCTTTAGCAATTGAGAAGAAAAGCTTTTTTGTCAAGGTCCCTGTGACCTTGACCTTTGACCCAGTGACCTCAAAATCAATAGGGGTCACCTTATAGTCATGATCAACATCCATGCCAAATATGAAGACTGTGGGTCAAAGGAATCTTAAGTTAATGGGTGGACAAACTTTTTGAAGTCAAAGTCCCTATGACCTTGACCTTTGATCCAGTGACCTCAAAATCAAAAGGGGTCATCTACTAATCATGATCAACATCCATGCCAAATATGAAGACTGTGGGTCAAAGGAATCTAAAGTTATTGGGCGGACAAGCTTTTCGAAGTCAAAGTCCCTGTGACCTTGACCTTTCACCTGGTGACCTCAAAATCAATAGGGGTCATCTACTTATCATGACTAACCTCCATTCCAAGTATGAAGACTGTGGGTCAAAGGAATCTTAAGTTATTGGGTGGACAAGCTTTTTGAAGTCAAGGCCCCTGTGACCTTGACCTTTGACCCGGTGACCTCAAAATCAATAGGGGTCATCTACTAATCATGACTAACCTCCATGCCAAATATGAAGACTGTAGGTCAAAGAAATCTTAAGTTATTGGGCTGACAAGCTTTTTGAAGTCAAGGCCCCTGTGACCTTGACCTTTGACCAAGTGACCTCAAAATCAAAAGGGGTCATCTTCTAATCATGACTAACCTCCATGCCAAATATAAATACTATGGGTCAAAGGATTCTAAAGTTATTGGGCGGACAAGCTTTTTGAAGACAATGTCTTTGTGATCCAGTGACCTCAAAATCGATTCGTCCGGTCACCTAATGGTCATGACCAACCTCCATGCCAAATATGAAGACTGTAGGTCAAAGGATTCTTAGGTTTTTGGGCTGACAAGCTTTTTTAGTCAAGCCTCTGTGACCTTGACCACTGACCTTAAAATCAATAGGGGACATCTACTTATCATGACTAACCTCCATGCCAAAAATGAAGACTAAGGGTCAAAGGAATCTTAAGTTATTGGACGGACAAGAAAAAACCGACGGACAGCCGGACGGACGGACGGACGGCCGGACGGACGGCCGGACGGACGGACAAGCTGATTCCAGTATACCCCCCTTACAACTTTGTTGTGCGGGGGTATAATTACTGCAAATCGGCTCTTACTCTGCAGTTATTAGTGTAGCCGCTTTTTCATGAAGAAACCAGTGCTGATAGTGAAAATTATTGTGATTGGCATATTTTAATTAGCCAGGTCAGGTGTTTCTAAAAGGCTGATAACACTGTAGCAATTTGAGGATACATTCAAATTTATTACATAGATAATGCACATGGAGCTCAGCTTGCAGAGACACAGTAACTTTTTGATATCCTTTTAACTCTAAGAAAAATGTCAATTATTAATTGCTGACTGTTTATATTTTCTAGAAAAAGTAAGCAAAACATTATTTTGTTTCATATGACAGGAATGAATTGCATTAACAATCCTAGGTACTGTTGAAAATTCATTGTTTTACATGCCAGATTAAGTATTTGGACCCCATCCTTGTTTGTACGTGACTGCTGGGGAAAAATAATGTTATGCTTAATTAAAGAGGTGACACTTTCTTTTTTTTTTATCTGATATCGAGTTGTGTTGAGCCGATTTGCAGTTATGTATGGGTAAGAGTTCGTATTAAGACGACCGTAGGGAGTCTTATCGAACTCTTACCCATATAACTGCAAATCGGCTCTTTCGGAAAATATTGCAAACATGATGCCATTTTTGATATATGTTCTACACGTGGAGAGAGGCAAGCGTAATAAAGTAGTTTTTTTGGCTAGTTTGAGTATACATATTAAGTTTCACTACCATGGGGCTGGATCACCTTTACAATCTACGCGTAGAAAAATGAATTGATTAATTAAGTACACATATGAATATCAAATGAAACTATTCCTGTAGGAAAGGATAATTTACATAATTACATATTATTTTGTATCAGTTAAGTGGATTAGTCGAATATAAATTATTGCAACATAGAGAAATAAAGAAATATTTTCAATCGTTATTGATCCCTGTCCTCGTAATATTACTCTGTTATATTTATAATCTATTTGACACATTATATTGTTATGTTAGGTTCAGCTCCATTGTATTCAACCAGCTTGGGAAAGTTTTGCGGAACGCAGACGCCAATTTATGTTAGTACTAATAGCACAATGACGCTGGTGTTTGTGTCAGATTCAAGTAAAACAGCACCTGGGTTCCAGGCCAGATATTACTCTGGATTAAGAGGTAAGTTATCCCGATATTATTATATACTATGGTGATTGTATCCGTATACTTTAATAATGACCGATCTCATTTTAAAAACAATTTTCAATGAATTCAATGATCTACTTACTGAATTATCCAAAGTAATCGTCAGTGTATGGGTATAATAAAGAAATTTGAAAATGACATGTAACTTTACTTCCCCTTTGTCCTAGGATAATTACATACACCCCCACCCCTCCCCTCCCACAATATAGAAGATCTGATCTGCTAATCACGGCGTCATAACGATCGATGAATTATTAAATCTGTACACGGTTTATAATGTTTTAGAATAACAAACTCAACCCTTTATGGTTGTATTCAGCATAACAGTTTTCTCTTTTTATTACAGATGATCTTTTAGAAAATATCGACACTGGAGGTAAATCGATTGACCTCGCAATTGTTTTAGGTTCTACTCTTGGATGTTTGGCATTTTTAGTATTGCTCTCAGCAATATTTGTCCTGGCATACAAATATAAGCAAGCAAAAACAAAATCTCAAGTACGACAGCGTCCACGACTTCCTCGACCTATATCGTCAATTCAGGTGCGGCCTTACAATGATGATGACCGTTGCTTTATCAATCGTCAAATGCCCCCAGCTTACGAAGCAATACAAGGTTCTTCCAGCAGCGAACCACATGGATACACCTCCGGCAATAACTATGGACGTTCTACTCAAAACGATTCCTACCCTACCAAAAATACTGACGAGAAGATTCCCGTGAAGAAAGTAGCATTTGGAAACAGTAATGATATGACTTCTAATGCCATCACTGGGAATACTTCAGGTGTCCCCGGAATGCCAGGAAGTAAAGGAAACGCTGTAACGGGTGACATCCCCGCAGGAACATCCAGTATGTTACAAATATCCAATCATAAGGCCTTAGACATAGGTAATCGTGTTGGTGGCAAACGTTCCCTGGATGCTGGCCCAATACCAGAGAAGAAGAAAATACAATAACTAATATATGAGCCGCGCCATGACAAAACCAACATAGTGCGTTTGCGACCAGCATTGATCCAGACCAGCCTGTGCGTCCGCGCAGGCTGATCAGGATCGATGCTGTTCGCTTACAAATCCTACAACAAGTAGAGAAACTGATAGCGAACATCATGGATCCTGACCAGACTGCGCGGATGCTTAGGCTGGTCTGGATCCATGCTGGTCGCAAACGCATTACGTTGGGTTTCGTCATGGTGCGGCTCATTTGTCAGCACTGTTTCTTCTATCATAGAAACAGCCAGCGCGTTTAGTGCTCATTATTATATTTGTGAAAGCATTTTGTTACAGTTAAAGTTTTTGCAATTAAACAACGAATAATTATCATCAAGAACACTGACCAGAAATTCCTAATCTACATGGTTGTTATCAATAAAGGAAGGGATTTATACTGCAATCGCAACAGAAACTGGCAGATATTAGCCTCAAAAATACATTTTACTTTGATTTAGATATCATACTAGGGAGTTATTATTAGGACAATGAACCTACAGATAATCCTAGTCTTAAGAAAAAGTAAATTCTTTCATTTTCGTCGCATATATGCACAGTGGCTAAAACTATTTTAACAGGTTGTAGTTACAATCATTTTTGTTTATCTTAAATAGTTTTGTTATTCAATGCTGGGGTTAAATAAGTGCTAAAAGTGTTATGAATATGACACATTTGTATGCATTATGTTAATTGACTTGTGTAATGTATATAGGTTTTTATATACTTGCTACACACTTATACTGCATTATACTTATAAACTATTTCGCTTAGTGACGGCGTGGCCGAGTGGATAAATTTGCTGGCGGTTGGGTTCAAACCCCGTCAAACCCCGTCAGCTGCAAGCCGCTGTTTCCACGAGCAAGAAACTTTACCCTGCTGAGCACTGGTTGGTTCTATCAGGGTCTTTCAAAGACCCTGATTCCATGAAGACATTTGAGAGTGCTTCAATAAGCTTATAGTTTCAGAATAGAACTAAGATAAATTCGTATAAACTAAATTATTGCTAATGTTATATAGCCTTGTTGGAATGAAAGGAATGAAGATATATCTTTAAACTGGCTATAATTGCAACAAACACATACACAGTTTTGAGGTTGAGGTATTTCATCAACTTATAATATCATTTAAATTTGTATCAATTATCATTACAATTAATAATTTGTAATGATTTAGAACCACACATAGATGCTTTAAATTATACATGTGAAATATTTATATGAAGTAAGACGAGTTGAGCTGATTTAAACAAACAAAACAACAACAAACCAACGTATTCATAGTCATTATTTTGTTGGAATTAAATCTTTACATAGATTGCTAATTTTCTATTACCTCCCTTTATAAAGGCAACATATCTATTTTGCCTTTTTTATTTCATCATAGAAGAAAAGTCAGTGTAGAACGGTAAAATATAAAGAAATAATGCACGATATTTTTTAAATAAGTTTGTACATGTATCAACCGCAATTCACCTTTCAAAATCATGATTTGGTAATATATTAGATCGCTAAATTTAAAACAGGTTACGAACACCTCAAAGATGCTGCTCCTGCATCAGTTACAACCAATAGTAACATCGTAAAATCAGCCAAATCTAACAGAAACACGCAATATATACCGTGAGACAATTGGTTCGTGTTAGCACGTGTTTCTGGTATTTATTTTGAAGAAAAAAATAATCTAAAGTTAAGACTGATGACAGCTAGGTGGATACCTCATTTGCTTACCTATGATCAATGAAAATGCAAAGACATTATTAAAATTGTATCCAAAAAATACCAAAAAGAGCTTTGATAATTAAGTTACTAGCTGGTGATGAGACCAGAGTCAAAATGTTTGAGTTCTAACAGAATCTGGGCATCAAGAATGCAAGAATGCAAACGCTGATATGATTGGTTATATTATATAAGGTGTTAAAATGAATGTTCATATTACGAAATGACGTTTACTGTGTTGTTTACCCGCCCCCCCCCCCCTTCTCCCACGAAGTGGTGTGGCAGGACTGGTCTATACGGTTTAGCATACAAATAACACTCTGCTTCAATCAAACATTTATTCACGGTTTTGTACATCAAAATGACATTCTATAGGATCTCTAATATTTATGGTTCTGAAAATATATAAATATACATATATGAACAGAAAATATATATTATCAATTCAGTTCATCATATTATTAATTATTACATATATTATTATTATTTACATAAAACATATGCAGGTCAGTGGTCCCTTTTAATCATAATTCATCCATATTCATTTATCAAAAATATAAGATATGTTATCAAAATACAAATTACATAACTTTTTTTTCTAGAATTACTTTTTTACACTATCCCAACACTGTGCCTGGTCCCTTTGACTTACACACGTCTCTATCATACATATCTTTACAAATTACTCAGGTTCCTCACCAAACTGTAAACCTTTATATTTATCTTTCTATCACACATATCTTTCTTCTCCAATACTAAAACTGGTGCTGTTAAACAGGAACAAATTAGATATTAAGTATTATGCATTTAAAGATTTGAGATCCGAAACTAGTTATATTAGTTAAATTAGAAGAAGAATAAGAAGTTCGGTCATTGAAAATGCCATCTCAAAATGTCAAACATTTACAAGGTATAAATTTAAATAAAAAGCCAAAATAAGTGAACATTAAAATACAGGAATGATTTAGCAATACAGCATAATATATTTAATGTAAGAAATTATCCTTTACTTAAACATTTAACTACATGTAAAGATAAATATCTAACCCACGCCAAAAAAACCGCCTTTTCCTCACGCTGACCAAATTCCCGCTCTACCTCCAAGTAGAAGAGTATTCAACATTAATAAAAATTAGCGCAAAGATACGAAAACATCAGAAAGTAATAAATAACAAAAAGATGTATTTCGGACCCTACTACAGTGGCATATTGTGAACTTATGTATTCCTTTAAAACAAATCAAAAATTCAAAATGAATGACGTGAAGTACTGTAGTTTTTTAGCTTGTGATAAAGTTATTGTGGTTATTCTTTTATCTTCTTCATACAACAAGCATGGGAACTTTGTTAGCTTACATAAACATTTATAAAACGCCGTCAAAAAAAATAAGAAGCTTGGTATAAGTTTTCAGCTCGAAAGTGAAACATAAAAATAAAAGATATTTTGCTCTCTAAAATACATTAATTATGATGAAATTAAAAGGCTAGTTTACAACATAAAACATGCTGTTTGAAACGATAACGCGTTTTGTGATAAAATGAAAAATTTACAATAACACGCCACTTCATTTTCACGATTTCATATTGAGTTATAAACACTTAGAAGAAAATTGAATCACATTTCATGTCAATAAAAATATTTGATTTACTTGTTACTTTTCTCAGATTGTTTTATCTCTAAAGGTATGATAAATATACTTCTATTTCGTTTGTTAACTACTCATATTATCGCATATTTTAATTAGATTTTAAAATGGTCGGAAATTGGAAAGTAAATATAGACCCAAACTTGGCGGCATTATAAAACAATATACGTGGCTGATAAACATGAACTCTCCCTTTATTCCCTATTGTTATAACTAAAGCTTTTCTATTACAATTTGTCTGGTCGATGAATTTTCTTTAAAAATCAATTTTTAACCAATAATTGTTAATGTTTATATACGTATGAATCTAAGTAGTTTATTGTTTCATATAAGTGGGCTTCCGAAGAATCAATTCTCTCCTCCAATCCTAACAACCAATCAAAACGTTCCGTTACAGTCACGTGATATTATAATTCTTTCAGCGTTATATCATTTGCGATAACAAAATTAAGAACTACAGTTTTTGAAACTGTGAATGTCATTGATTTAGCTCTAACAGGAATGTTTTAAAGGATTACTATATTACGAAGGTATTTCCTTTGTTATTCTTAACTGTTTAATATAATACAATTGACTATTATAATTTTGATTTTAATTAAATTCAGACCATATTATTTTACAGATAAAAAACTGTTAAGTCATTTCATTATTGTCGAAGAGATAAATTAAAATTTTGATATCAAAATAAATTAAACATAGTGGACATTAAAGTTGTAAAGTAACTTACGAGTGTGAAGATATTGAATAATATGTAATTGTCAGAAATAAATAGCTGTGTCTATGTATATATGGTTATAACACAATTTTTTATCTTTATATAAAAAAGCTAAATATTGTACACATTTTTTTTGACGTTTTGTGAAAATTAAGTAAATCACAGAACAAATGATTAAATAGAACTGAAAATTTAGGGAAACAAAAAGTGGAAAATGTATCGGAAAACGACAGGGATACAAGTTGTTGTCATTTTCATAATTTACCCTAAGTGGATTAGTCCAATGTTCTATAATTACATTACGATTAAGGAAATATTTCATGCGGTAAAATCTTATTTACGGAAACGATAAAGGGCCTCCATTAAGTGCGATCATGAGGTTAAGACGACTGATTTTTGTTCGATTTGTTCAGAAGTTTTTACACAAATCTATTCATTTTATTTAGAAACACTAAACTATATTTTTCATTCTCAGTCACTTTTCTCAAAATGCTCGAGGTTTACGTCAATTTGTATCACAAAGGCAAATGTTTTACAAAAAGATGAAATGATACCTTTTTGCCTAGACACAATCTTCAAGCGTATCGAGAAAAGATTCGGCCTTTTTTTAATCTTTGTGAATAAAATAAATTGATTTGTGTTAAAAGGTATATTTTAATCGAACTTAAATCAGTCGATTTACACTTCATTATCTCACAAATTGGAGCCTTTTTAACATTTCCGTACTTTATTCAATAAATAATAAGGTCTTGCAGGATGCATAGAAATATTTCAAGATCTAAGTCTATATGCTTCCTACACTATCGAACTATAATAAAATTTCTGTATAAACAAAGATGTGAGTTCTCGAAATAAAAGTTCAAATGGATTTATAACCATATGGTGACTTTTGTTGCTTATTCGCATTTATAGGGTTGATGATGATCAACCATATGGCTTCTTCACATCATAAAAGTTGCTATATTTCATTTAATTTCATGACTACACTTTGTATAATCATACCTGAAATAAGTTTGAAAATACTTTAATGTCACTAATTGGCCAGTTCTAACATATATGAGCCGTGTCACGACAAAACCAAAATAATGGTTTTGCGACCAGCATGGATCCAGACCAACCTGCGCATCCGCGCAGTCTGATCAGGATCCATGCTGTTCGCTATCAGTTTCTGTACATGTAATAGGGTTTGTAAGCGAACAGCATGGATCCTGATCAGACTGCGCGGATGCGCAGGCTGGTCTGGATCCATGCTGGTCGCAAACCCATTATGTTGGTTTTGTCATGACACGGCTCATATAAGAAATGCTGGAATGTTTTCATACTGGCAGTCTACTGTAAGCAATGTTTTGGTTGTTCAGTGTCATCAATTCAAGTGATAAATAATGATAAGCCGGTGCCAGGCAAGGGCCGTGGTATATAGTGCATCTGTCACTTTTTATTATGAACAGACTCAGTAAAACCGATCCTGCTATCCCTTGGTCTTTTGCCATTGCTCATTAGGCATATCCTATTTCCAAGTCCCAACATCTTCCCAGTGTTTGTGATTTGTATAGCTCTACATTTGTTATGAAGTATGTGTTTTGTATAGGTTTATATTTGCTATGTATGTAGATGGAAAAAAGACTAGTATATAATCAAACAATTATCTGTGGAGTGATTTGTTTTTTCTTTCAAGCCTTTATTTTGTCTGAAATTTTGCAAAGCCTTCTTTAAGATAACCTTTAGTAAGTTATAACCTATACCGTGGTACATTTTATTATCGTTAAAATATTTAAAGTAAATGTGTTTAATATATATAAAAAGGGGACCGTCATTTTAAGTTCTAATTAAATGGATTGTTTGAAGTAACGTATGTGTTTGCTCTACATTCACAATGGTCAATACTATGTTTAAAAAATGCAGCGTTTTAAATCTTGTCATAAGTACAATAAGTATTGTTATTATTTGTAACATCAATATTTATAGCCTTCTTGGCCAAATGGGTAAGGTTGTTGTCTTCAAATCACTAGCTTCATGCCACTGTGTGTTCAAATCCAGTCAGGGTTCGAATTGAGTCTTTTATGTAAGGAAGCTATCGAGCTAGCTTACAGAATGTCAGTGGTTCTACTCGGGAAGAAATAATGCACTGATGGGAACCCCCAGTAAAACTGGGAAGTTGCCATTAGATCTTTAATGTCGCTCTGACTTACGAGGTCACAAATAAAACGGCCGCCGCCCGATTTAACGATATTTACAAAATCGTCGGTTTTAACGATTTCGCGAACGTCGGGCAATTTTGAATCTGATACCTTGCGTGGTCATGAATGAAACTGTCGCCGGGCGATTTTTTGCCGATTTGATTTTACAGACATCATCGGACGGCGCCTGTGCGATTTATGAATGGATCGGACGGTCGCCGAGTGGGCGCCGGGCGTAAAGGCGTGTCATTTTATGATATTCTCAATCAGTCAGTGGTCAATATGCCAGCGAAGAAGACAATTAATCGAGACAAGATGAAGACCAAGCAAAAAAATGCAACAATTGTTGTTTGCCTAAACCTTAATACTAATCCGCGTAGACCTTCTTGCTCGACCATAAAGTTCATGTTAAATCCAAAAGAATTCATTGATACATTTAGGTAATTACAAAAATCTGAAGTCGTAATTACAACAAACTCAAGCCGCACGATCGCCGTACGACAAAACGGCGGGGCCCGGGCGATGTCCATCCGGATGCCTTGACAATCGGACGGTGTTTTTGTATCAAAAACAATCATCCGATCAAAAAAACATCGCCCGGGCGTCGCCCGGCGACCTGGCGATCACTGCCAGATGACTGTTTCAAATATTATTGTACGGCCGCTGTTAGCTTTTAAGTAGTAATTAAAACACGACGGCCCGCCCGATGACCAAAATTTTCAGCTACTGCCGTCCGATTGGCATGGTGGCCGGACGGACATCGGCCGATATTACGATAGTTTGGAAAAATAGACGCCGCCCGGCGGCAGTTTGTCATTTGTGACTTAGGCATTATTATAAAGTTATTAATTAATAACTCGTTAAGAAAATATCGTTATTAAAATATATCAGTCCGTTATTTTCTTTGTTTTAATTAATTTGTAGTATGCAAGTTCATGAATCAAATACTAGCTGAAGTCACACCCGGCTTAAACATTTTATCGAAACTCGACAAAGTTCGAGCCACATATTCGAGACCGTACCAGAAGCAAGTGTCTTGTAGCTTTAAGGTTGAGCCTATTTTTAAAAATAAATTGATCATACATTAAAAAAAGATATATTTTAAAGATTATTTTTAGAATGGTGTACCATAACGTTTATTTTATGAAAATTGAAATTTAGTGTATTGGTAACCAATATACTAAACAATGCGTTTAACGTAGATAAATAAATGAATGTTTTTATTTGTAAAGTTGCCCATATTGACGCGCGGTATGGTGGGATTATATCGCCATTGTTTGTGTTGAAATGAAACATTGATTATTGTCTTAACATTTCTTTCATTGAATATTTAACACGTATTTCTGCCGGCGTTAATAAAAAGATAAAATAAAAACGTGTCTGTAATTCAAAAATAATTCACTACTCTATTGAAATAATTGGAAAAATTCAATTCTAAACGTTTTTTGTTTGTTTTTATTAGAGTAACTAAATAAGTGAAAACCAAAATGTATTGGTCGGTCATAGTAGACTAACAATAACTATATAAACTGATGAATCATAACAATAGTCTATCCATTTATACTGAAATATAAGATTTGATAACTATTCCTTAATTTCAGCATGTTGTTCAATCTTAAATTGATCTACTAATCTTTAAATCAGGTTATGTTTTCTCTTCAACTTCCATTAAAAAAATCAAGCATAAAAAACGAACATAATAGAACAAAATACAAAAAAAAATAGCTGTGATGAAATAGCTTTAATAATTCTGTGCAAAATCATGTTTTATTTGCCATTTTTTGTTTTATATTGATTACTGTTTTTAATGATATTTACATTTGACAACGCGCGCGAGACTTACGGCATGGTTATTTTCCATCAAACCATTTAACTACCATTGATTTGAGAACTTCATGATAAATATTGCAGTTGCAAACATATCATTGATTTATAGTTGTGTATTGTTTTCAGACACTTAATGGATATAAAAAGTTTATATGGGTTCAAAAACTTCCGCACTTGTCTCATACAGAATTTCGCGGCTTTTATATACATTAGGGAAAAAAACCAATTAGAACCGGGGGGGTTCCTCTATGATAGACATGACGGAACCATAGCGTGTTTAAGGTACAAGTCTGGTTACCTCTTGTAATGTACTAAACTATATCATTTGAGTGCATGATTATATCTTATGTGTCCCTAAACAAGTAAACAAATGATCCACTACATTATGTTAATAAATCAAAATTGTAAAACATTGCAGGAAATGAAAAAAATAATGCTTGTTTAGACACCTACTGCTGGTGTAATCGCTCGGTGAGAGACCTACTGCGGTTATTGACCTCGCTATCTCAATTACCTAGTGAGTGGTGTTGCTTTTCGCTCGGTTATTGACCTAGTGGTTGTGTTATTGCTCAGTTATTGACCGAGTGGTGGTGTTATTGCTCAGTTAGTGACCTTGTGGTGGTGTAATTGCTCAGTAAGTGACATAGTGGTGTTGTATATCGCTCGGTTAGGGGCATAGTGGTTGTGTTATTGCTCAGTTTGTGACTTTGTGGTGGTGTTATTGCTCAGTTAGTGACCTAGTAGTGGTGAACTCGCTCGATGGGGACCTAGTTTTGGTGTAATTGCTCAGTAAGCGACCTAGTGGTGGTGA